GACCAGAGATGATGCTAAATTTCCTACAATGCACAGCACAGCCCCCCACAACAAGGAACATTAACCCAAAACAGTCAATATTGCAGAGACTGAGGAACCCTACTCTTTGGGAACCCACTTCACATCTGACTGTGTCTTGCTTTCACTTTGAATTGGCCATTACAAGCACATGGCAAACAAAACGCTGGGAAGTGGCCCTCCCCGTGATTCTATTAAGGATCACAATTCAATTTGATCTCTCCAGCCATCACTTTTTCAAAGGCGTTGTGATAGAAAAATTACAAGATTCGTGTTCGTTTAAACTACACAATTTAATTCAATTGCCCTGAAGAAAACTGGTACCAGATCACCAGAAGATGGCTGAGCAGCTCATGCTAACCGGTGATTCAGTTTACCACAGAGGTAACCTGACAAATGTTTGAAAGCTAGTCGGCTAAGGACATCTGTACCTACTGTATTAATTTGGATCCAATTGTACTCTTCGTTCTCAACCAAAATAAATCTGCTCAAGAACATGAGGCTCTTTTTAGACCAACACAAGGTGAAAGGAGAGGTGAAAATTTAATTCCATCTTTTTACAAAGAATCAAAATACTAAGCAGGAGAACTGATAAAAAGCTTCCAAATTAATTTATGGAGAGTCAGAGTAATTCTAATTGATCTTAATGTAATTTAAAATTGTAGGTATACTAATTAACATTGTATATTTAACACTGTTTTTAAAATTGTAATATCGGTTTAAAAATTTTACAATAAAATTCTATTTAAACTGTATTTGTAGAGTGCTTTGCAATTCTGTTTAAATGCATCTATCTCTGTAGAGATTTGTAGAGTGCTTTATAATTTATGAAGTACACTCACATATACTATCTCACTTGAGCCCTAAAATAATTCTGAGAAGAAGGCATGGCAGGATATCATCGCCGACTTAACAGTGAAGACACAGGTTTCAGTCCCGAATATAAGTCCCTTGGGCTTAACAGAACACTCAAGCGAAAACATCGTGTTTTACAAAGTTGGGTTGGGGTGGGAGGTGGCACAAACAACTGTTCCAATTCTCTCCTGCTGAATAAACAACCCTATGACTCAGTGACTTCAGACAACAAACATTTCATTGTCTCTCACAAAATAGTGGAGCTCAGCTGAGCGGTTCTCCTGCTCCATGTGGTGCTGGCTGGGGCCATAGGGGTCACGCTGGGGCCATAGGGGTCACGCTGGGGCCATACGGGTTACCCTGGGGCCATAGGGGTTACCCTGGGGCCATAGGGGTCATACTGGGGTCCTTGGTTGGTGGCTGCTTTGGAGGGTGTGCGGCAGCTGCACTCACGTGGCCCTGGTGGGACCGCGGGGAGGCCGGGCCAGCCGGATCTCTGTCCTGCTGCCTAGGGGCCTCTCCCAGGTCTGTCCAGCAGGGTAGTCAGACTTTCCATGGAAACCAAGAGTGCATCCTTGGAGAGACAGAGATCAGAAGCTGCTGCTCTTCCAATGCCTGGACGTGGTCCCTTCCACATACTGGGTTGGTCGGGCAGTCATGGAGCCCACCGAGATGTAAGAAGTGAGGGGAAGGGGGGACCCCACCTCTAGATGAGAGGACAGTTTGGCATCTTTAATCCGCATGAGATCCAGCTGACATGTGGGCATGTGGCCCGATGACTGACCACTTTCCCGGCATTAGGAGTGGTTCTCCTAAGAAACTAATTAGATCAGGGAAGCTGCAAACAGAGAGCTGACGTCAGCAGGGCTCAGCCGGTGTGTCCACCTGCATCCTCTGCTGCCTGCCTGCTGTCACTGATCCTCTTGATTCCCGTGGCTTCAACCACCACTTCTATGGTGGGGACGTCTCTAAGAGAAGTGACATCTCTTCTCCCAGGCTCCAAGACTCCAGCACCCTCCAGATGGGTACCTCAAAGCACCTCGAATCCCGTACATCCAAAATGGAGCTCGTCATCTTTCCTCCAAAACCTGCCTCTCTCCCTGCCTTTGTTATTGTGAGGGATACAATCAGCCACCCTGCTTTCCAGATCTGCATCCTGAGTATCATCCTCGACTTCTCCTTCCCCTTCACCCACTGCATTAAGTTGCTATTGTGGCCTATGGATTCTAACTCCTAAACCCGCCTCCTCCCTCTGTCCTCATTGCCGCTGTCCTAGCTCTTGGACTTCTGCACCCCTCCTACTTCCCCTGCCTCCTGTCCTGCTTCCATACAATCCAGAGTGACCTTTCTAAAATTCAAATATGATTATGTCACTTCACATTTCAGTTGGGAGGCACACCATTGAGGATAAAATCCAAACTCTTTAATGTAATTTTGTTCTTGTGTGATTTGATTTGAAGACACCAAATGCCCTCCTGGCCTCAACATATTGCTCTCACTGGCATTACCAAGAAAATGTCCATGGTATCCACTCCTTCCAGTCAAGGCATCTATAGTTTCTGTTGTTGTTTCCTGTGTGTGTGTTAAGATTTTTAAATTGATTTTTAGAGAGAGAAGAAGTATCTCTGTGGCTATTTAATCCTTTGGGATGAGTCACAGGATAGATAAGTTACGGGGTTGGGGGGGGGGGGAGGCCAGGATATCTAAATCAGTACTGAGAGCCATTTCTGATGCATAAAAATTAAAATAATTGACTGATGTATATAGAATATTCAAGGATCTAGAGAGATTCTGTATAGTGAAATTATCCTGTATGTCATTTTTTGGATGGATTAGATACCTGCATTAGAAAGGAAATAAAGAAGGTACCCAATGAATGGAATGATGGGTACAGCCACTTTAGATCCAAAATTTCAAAATCACCTGGCAATCATCTAACCATCTTCGTTTAATAAGATGTACATAGCTGAGAAGATGGCAGCATAGGTAAACGCCTATACTTGCTGCCTCCCACAACCACATCAAAATTACAACTAAAATACAGAACAACTATTATCCAGAACCACGGGAAAGCTGGCTGAGTGGAAGTACTACAACTAGAGAGGTAAAGAAGAAAGCTCATTGAGACTGGTGGGAGGTGTGGAGGCGCAGAATGGGCTGGTCCGGCACCTGGATGTGCCACTTTTTTAATCAGGAGGGAGATCGCCTTTTTGGAGGCCACCTGGAGGAGTAAGGAGTGCCAGCCCCACACCAGACCCCAGTCCAGGTGAGGTTCTGGGGGACCTAGATACATACAGGAAGAAACTGGACTGTCTGGCATCAGGGCAGGGACTTGGGGGCAGCTTTCTTTCAGACGGAGGAGCTCGCAGTGGTCATTGTTCCTGTGCTGGGACCTCCCAGTCGCAGGGCTGACTGGCAGCCATTTCTGTTGGCTCCTCCCTGGTGATTCCCTGAGACCCCATCTCATCCAATTTACAACCCCACCCAAGCTGTGTGCATCAGCTTTTGCATATGAATGCTCTGTCCTTTCTCAGGCTAAACAAGCTGCAGCTGGGTCAGGGAGCCCCAAACCTATCAATAAAAGGCCCAAGAACTGTCACCAGCACTAGCCTGCCTTGCTTCACAACTGGGTCTCATCTGGGCACTTCCAAACCCCATACAAAGAGGAGGAATCTGCAGATGTCTCTGTAGCTCCTGCTGGATGGACTCAGGCAGTGGTTGACTTTGCACCTCCCTGGAGACCCAAGAGCCAGTGTACTCAGTGGTCAGTGTGAGACCATACCAGATTACAACTCTACACATCCATAAGTGACACACTCAAGGGGCAGACTGAGTGAGCACCAAAGCCCCACTGAAGCAAGTCCTTCTTCATATGGGTGTCTCCTGCACAGTAGCCCTCCCACTGTAGTCACAGCTGGTCCCTACAGCCAATTCGCCTGGAGGTCAATTCTTCCCAGTGACACCAACAGCAATCAAGGCTCAACTACAATAAAACTATGCACACAGCCCACAAAGGAGTGCACCAAGGGTGGCCACCTCAGGTGACAGGGGAGCTGAGCCACTGGGCCCTATAGGACACCTACTACACAAGGCCACTCTATCAACTCAAGGAGACTTAGCAACTACCCAATACATATAAACAAACACAGGGAAGCAGCCAAAATGCAGAGACAAAGAAACATGTCACAAATGAAAGAAGTGGAAGAAAGCAAACTACTGGATATAGATTTCAAAACCACATTTATAAGGTTACTTAAGAATCTTCTAGAAACCTCTGAGGAACTTAGTGAGACTTTCAAGGATCTTAGTGAGAATGCAAAAAAAAAAAAAAAAAAAAAATGGAAAAGGACCAGTCAGAAATTAAGCATACACTGATTGAAATAAATAATATACAGAGATTCAACAGTAGACCAGAGGATCCTGAGAATCAAATCAATTATTTGAAATACAAGGAAGCAAAAAACACCCAACCAGAAGAGCAAAAAGAAAAAATAATTCAAAAATATGAAGATAGTGTAAGGAGCCTCTGGGACAACTTCAAGCGTACCAACATCCAAATTATGGGGGTGCCAGTAGAAGAGAGAGAGCAAGATATTAAAAACCTATTTGAAGAAATAATGACAGAAAACTTCCCCTACCTGGTGAAAGAAATAGACTTACAAGTCCAGGAAGCGCAGAGAACCCCAAACAAGAGGAATCCGAAGAGGACCACATCAGACACATCATAATTAAAATGACAAAGAGAGAATCTTTTTTTTTTTTGCCTTTAAAATTGTCTTTATTTCTGATCATTCCTTTACAATCATCCACCTCAGGATTAACTCCCACACATGCAGCTGGAGCCCAAATACCCCTCCCACCTCCCCATGCAAATCAGATTCATATTTCTGATTCTAGGACACTTGCCCCCTGAGGTCCCATGAACTCCCCAACATTTGCCCCTGTAATCGTGGACCTGGGCTTGGTCCCTTCCTTTCCGAATTCACAGGAGCATGAATCTGGAACGTGGGTGCATCCTGCATAATGCAGCCAGGTTCTATATTACAGCTTCCAGGGGCCCAGAACAAAGCTTCTGCTGAGTGTTCCCACTGAGCAGGGTCATTACAGGGGCACAGCACGGCTACACGTCATGAAAACTCCACCTCATAAACTTTACTTTTGCCACATTTGTGACAGCACTTGGTGCCAAGAAAGATGGTCCTGGGCTGCCCTAACTCCCTCAGTATCCCCACGAGCTCAGCCCGAATCAGGGCAAGTCTCTCCTTGTTGACAGTCCCTTGGATCCTGTAACACTCCAGGGGGACGGGGTACAGCTCGAGCTCTAAACTGCGCAGCCCGGCTGTGTGGCGCAGCAGCTTCCCCACGGTGGCCACGGAAAAGTTGTTCTCAGGGATGGTGAAGTCCCTGAGCTGGTGACAGCGGCTCAGGACAGGCAGGATGGCCTCGATTTGGGAGTCCACCATCGCACAGTTATCCAGGCCCAGGTCCTGGAGGGTGGGTGCCACTGCCTCCAGCAGAGCTCGGAGGGGCTCGGGACTAAAATCCATGAGGCTGAGACCAAATAGATGCAGGGACTTTAGCTGCCTGAGGTTCGGGCACTGGAACAGGTGTGTCAGGTCTGAATGGGTCAGCTGCTGGCAATTTGTTATGGAGAGTTTGTCCAAGGGATTCTGCAGGCACCTGAGCATCTGGTCCATACGGCCTTGGAGGAAGGAAGGAGAATCCATTTTGAGGTCCCGGAGGTGCTGCAGCCTGAGCATCTGAGAGAGGAATTGGGAAAAGAATCGCTGCTCCTCCTGCTTTCTGTCCCAATCCTCTTCCTCCTCCCACTCCTGCTCCTCTTCCTGCTCCTCTTCCTCCTCCTCTTCTTCCTCCTCCTCCCCGTCCTCATCCTCCATCTCCTGCTCTTCCACCTCCTCCCCCTCCTTCTCCTCTGCCTCCTGCTTCATCTCCTCCTCCTCCCCGTCCTCATCCTCCATCTCCTCCTCCTCCACCTTCTCTTCTTCCACATCCTCTTCCACCTCCTCCTCCCCCTCCTCTTCTTCCACATCCTCCTCCTCCTCCTCCATTTCCTCCTCTTCCTCATCCTCCTCCTCTGTCAACACGTGGATGTGGGAGAGAGACAGTCTCTGCAGGTTACGCATCTGACCCAGGTAAAGAGCAAACGTCCCCAGGGTGGGCAGGTCCCACGTGTAGTTCACTTCCACCTCCTGGATGCAGTCCAGCTGCACCCCATCCAGGACCTTCCTGGCCCTCTGGAAGGGCACCTCAGAAATCCTTAGCATCTTGCAGCACAGGTGTAGCAATCCTTCCCTCTGCTGGGCCCATTGGATGATGAACTTGAGAAACTCATCCCCATCCCTTTCATTGAAGTTAAGGTCTAGGAACACCTCCAAGGGAGCCAAGGGGTGCTCAGTGTTGGGGCTGGAGCTGTGCACAGCCACTGGTCCCTCAGGTGAGCAATTCCAGGTGCTGTCTCCACACCACATTCTCCAGAAGTTGGCACCTGTGTTCCTTAAATCCAGCACCCGCAGTTTCCACCTCCTGGGGCGAACCTCCTGGGCAAGCAGAACATCTAGCCCATCCAACACGGCTTTTAAGACCTGGTCCAGTGACAGCTGTGACAGGCAGCCCAGAGGGAGGAGAGTGAAGGGCCAGGCGCGCACCATCACCGTCAGGGGCTCCCGAATTCTCCTACGGTAGGCCTGAATGAACAGTAGCGGGAAGAGCTCAGCGGGCAGGTACTCCAGAGCTGTGATGACTGAGGCCTGGTCCCTCAGCAGGCTCTCTCCTGCCAGCCGCAGGAGTCTGGCTGGGTTCCGGGTGCGCATCTTCAAGGTGCTCAGAAAGGAATCCTTCAGAAACGTCTGCTGTGACCCAGTTGGCTGGGGCTCAGATCTCAGACCTGGTGGAGAACCACCACACTGACTGCAGAGCTGGAGGACTCTGAGTCTCTCCTCTGGTGCCTGAGGTTTTTATACACCTTCTCAAATGCTAACATCCAATCAGAAGCCCCAGTCTCCATCCCTTAATCTTATTGGGATTATTTCCTCTCTCCAGATTAATGGATTGAGAGAAAGTTAGGGAGGGGCAAGGTTGAGGCCTGGCTCATGGATTCCTTCCACAGACACTGACTGAGGTTGACTGATGGTTCCCAGCTGTCATCTCAGTTTGAGACAGTGAAGGTGTAATGGTTTCCTGTTGTTAAATAGGAAAGAAACAAAACCTGAGAGCATGGTGGCTGGGGGTCTTTGGCCACAGTAGACTAATCCAAATGTATCCACAGTTAAAACAGCCAAGGCCCACAGCTGACACCATTTGATGTCATCAACAAAGAAAATAATTGAAATGTGTCCATGCTTCAAGTGAGGTTTTATGTCAGTTGACATAGCAGATCATGAGCTCCACAGGGATCAAGGGGTGGGAAATTGAGCATGTGCGTGGCCCTGTAGACCCCAAGGCTTCTCTGAGGGACCTCAGGTAAGAATCACCATGAGAAGCAGGGTCAGGGCTGGGCAGGGTCAGGGTGGGCCCTCCTAATGGAACCCTGTGAATGACCCAGGGCCACGTAAACCATGGGTGTTTTTTTCTTGGAAAGAAGAGGGAAAGACTCTTCTCTGGGTTAATTTAAGATTTAAAATGAGACAAGCTGGAGGGGAGACAGTGCCATCCTAGAGGGCAAAGGGAGAGATTGCATTCTCGGTCCCTCCCAGGAGGAAAGGGTGGTTCTCCACTGGGAAAGATGGGATTAGCTCAGCAACTGGGTGGAGAAGATTAAATCTAAGAATGTGATTAGATGGAAAGAAGCCAGACCTGGGAGTCAGACATTTTCAAGCCTGAAAAGCACTGAAGGCAGATGCATGGGCTCCTTGAAAGAGAGAATCTTAAAAGCAGCAAGAGAAAAAGTTAGTTACCTACAAGGGAGTGCCCATACGACTGTCAGCTGATTTCTCCACAGAAACTATGCAGGCCAGAAGGGAATGGCAAGAAATATTCAAAGTGATGAATAGCAAGAACCTACAACCAAGATTACTCTACCCAGCAAAGCTATCATTTAGAATTGAAGATCAGATAAAGAGCTTCACAAATAAGAAAAAGCTAAAGGAGTTCATCACCACCAAACCAGTATTATATGAAATGCTGAAGAGTATTCTTTAAGAAGAGGAGGAAGAAGAAAAAGGTAAAGATAAAAAACATATATGAACAACAAAGTGACAACAAATACATATCTATCAACAAGTGAATCTAAAAATCAAATGAATAAAAAATCTGATGAACAGAATAAACTGGTGAATGGAATAGAATCAGGGGCATGGAAATGGAACAGACTGAAGATTCTCAGAGGGAAGGAGGTGTGGGAGATGTGGGAAGAGATTAGACAAAGAGCTTATATGCATGTATGCATTACTTATGGACACAGACAATAGGGTGGCGAGGGCCTGGGTTGGGGTGGGAACCAGGTGGAGGGGAGCTATGGGGAGAAAAATGAAGGACATCTGTAATAATCTCAACAATAAAGATTAATTTTTTAAAAATGAACATAGCTAGAGACCCAATCAAGTTCCCCAAAATTACATTTCAAGGAATGATTTACACACATTGATCACATAGATTTGCTTTATTGATCATTTCTGGCAATTAGGAACCCATCAGGCAAAGCTTAAAATTGCTTCTAGTCTTGGACAGTGTGCTCGGTGGTTAGAGCATTGGCCCTGGGACCCAAGGGTCTCAGGTTTGATTCCCAGTCAAGGGCATGTACCTGGGTTGCTGGTTCCATCTCCACTGATGTTCCACTTCTCCAGGTTCTGATCCTGTCGTGGAGAAATGGAGCACCAACTCGAGGCCACCACCTTCCCAACCCCCGGCCCTCCCTCTCCCTCAGCCCACTGCTGGCATTTCCGCTGGCGTTCCTTCTTCATGAATCTTCTGCGTCACTCATCTTTTTCTGACACACCTGCCGCATTTTCCATCTTCTTTCCCAGCAGCCTCCCAACCCCTGCACATTATCTTCAACTCTCCAAAGCTCCCACATGTCATTGGCCCATAAGATCTGAATTCCAGTGGTGATAATGGCAATGATGGTGAGTTAACATTTTCTTCACTTCCATGCTGTTACCTTGAATCCTCACAATCCACTGCAGTGTCTACTACCTATTATTAACCTTTTACAGAACAGGAAACCGAAGCTCAGAGAGGTCAAATAATTTTGCCGAGTTTGTACAATTAATCAATATTTTACAAAGATATTCCAATAATGCTGAATCTGAAAATTAAATTGATTAGGACCAATCACTCAAAATCACTTCTATATGCTAAAAAGTTCATGAGTAAAATGATACAATGCCAAAGATTTGCTTACAGGAAGGCTGGCGCTCATTGTACTGCTTGCTCTGCTTTTGTGTATACAGTGGGGCCTTGACTTACGAGTGTCCCGACTAACGAGTTTTTTGAGATACCAGCTGTCTCTCGACCGATTTTTTGCATTGAGTGGATAGAGTAATTTGAGTTAACGAGCTCCTTAACGAGCTCGGTCTCAGAACAAATTAAACTCGTAAGTCAAGGCCCCACTGTACTTGAAACTTGCCAAATAACAATGTGGAGGTTTTAACGTCATTTTGAATACAATTACAAACAACCTACCTATGCCTACTGATCAGGAGAGCCATTCAGAGCTTGCAGATAATTTCAAAATGTTCCATTATTCGTTCAGACTTAAAAACACCCAATATGGGGATTCGAGAACACACATGAGCTTTAGACAAAATGTCTCATCTTTGTCAAACAAGTTTTGTTTTGTTCCGACCTTTGCAATATGCACTGCACACTTGTCACCGTGGCAGGAACAATTGCCCAGGCGCTGTGTTCAACCACACGCTGCTACCTTTTAATTAACCCGCACAGCCTCTCTTACATAACCTTGTTTGAGAAGTGACAGCCACGTGGGCCTCTAAATAATGTCTGTCAGTGTCCCTTTAGCCGCGGGTCTATTCAATCAGAACAATAGTCAGGTGCATGGTCCAGCCTCCACCCTTGTCACAAGTGTGAGTGTCCCAACCACCATGCGGAGCTGTCTCGTGTGTGAGCAGCTCACCCAGCGTGTCCTCTTCCCCGTGTCTCCTGCACAAGCTCCCACAGCTCTGCCTGAAACCCTTCGCACTCACACGGCCGGGTGTGACCAGGGCGCTGGCCATTCGCATGTCAGCAAAGGGCTTAGGTGAAAGGGCCACATTTCTGGGCGGAAGTTCATCAGTATATCATCAAATCTCTAAAAATGTGCTTGCCCTGGGGTCCAGCAGTCAGATCTAGGGTATTATCCTCAAAAAGTAATTGGGCAGATGCACCAAGATGTATGCACAAGGATACCCAAGGCAGTGGGTTATTTTTTAAATAATATTAACTCATTAGAGTCTAACTGCCCAAGATCATGAGCTTAGCTCAATGAAATGATCGGCAGACACTAAGAAGGTTGATGTAATACTTTTTATGATAAATCGAGAGGTTCCATTACATCCAGTTAGCAATCAGCAGGTTACCCAGGAATGTGCTTAGTATAAATATGTACATAGTCTAGCAGGTAAAAAGTTCTGGACTGATAAACGCTGAGGTTTCCTTCAAGTGTTTTTTTTCCCCTCTCTGTATTTTCATGTATTTCTACAGTGAACGTAAGAAATAAAAATTGCTGGAAGCCGGTCCATCCTTGCTGCTTGACACAGTCGCTGCAGGGAAGAAACATCTGCACAGCTTATGTTTCAAGGGACCTGGCGTATGTGGCATACTGTTCTTAATATGTTTGCTCACCTTCTTGGCGCATGTGTTTTAACCAAGGTCACCTCTCCGAGAAAGGTTGTTTCCCCAGGTAGGGATTTTTCCCTGAAGTTAGGGAGGGAATAAAACCCCTTAACTAAATGCCAGGCGGGTAGTTAATCACTTTAACTATGAACAATCACCCTTAAGCTACATAATCTTTACTCCCTGGAATGGAGATAAGAAACGCCCTAACCTTTGGAATAGAAATTGACAGGATTAAAATCAACTGGTATAAATACAGATGTAACAAGACAATGAAAAACAGAACTTGGCTGGAGATCCTGGCTAGAGATCCTGGCTAGGCTGCTGATCAACTGAACACTGTCTCCGTGTCATTCCTTCTTCGCTGACTCCATCCACACCTTTGGGGACCCCTGGACCTGCTGGGGTTGGACCCCAACAAAAAATAAAAAAGTAACAGATAAAACCTACTGTGTCTAAATGTGTTTTAAGTGCTCAGATACAAGACAAAGGCATAACCTGGCGGAGATGTGGAAACCCTGGGGGCACCGTTTCCATAAAGAGAATCTCTGGGTATTAACTATGGAGCAGAAGTGATGGGCAAGGGCAAGGGGAGGAGCAGAGAAGGGGAGAGGAGTCACCTGTGATTGGAAACAACATCCCAAGAGCAGGCTGGGAGCTCTGAGTGACACATGCCCCCAAACCAGCGAGACACCAGAGCTTCTGGAACTTCTATAACTGCCGACCCTTACAGCAAGCCCTCAAGATAGGTCTTCGCAAAGGGTGGTCTGGGGTCCCACTCCTTGCCCACGGTCCTAGCTGGTGGACTCGAGCTGAGATTGGAACCAGATGTGCCCGCTCCCCTATGCGTGAGGCTCTCATAACTAAGAGAAGAGGGAGCCAGGCAGCTCAGCTCCGAGAGAGGCACCGTCACATGACGCTGATGAGAGGGCCCCTCGCGGGGCACAGTAGCACTCCCTGAAGAATGGGTCTCACAGCTGGTGGTGGCAGCAATGAGGGGCTCTTCAGGAACAGAAATGAGCCCCTGTGGCTGTCAGTTATT